TTACCATGTCACACTCACCCACCCACCCTCTTCGTTGGTTTGATAGAAACCCAAGTGTTGAAGGAGCCATCAAAGAGAGGGTCACCACAAGCTTAAAGACACAATTGAGAAGAACTTCAGATAAAACTCTATCACACTTTGGTTCGTAATCGTGATGGTGGGATGTGCCCACCGCCTATTCCGTTCTTCTCTCCAATTAACGTGGGATCTCACAATCCACTCCCTTCGGGCCTAGCGTCCTCGTTGATACTCTTTTCCTTTTGTTACTAATGTGGGACCCCAATCCATTTCTTTTAGGGTCCAATGTCCTTGCTGGCACACCGCCTCGTGTCTAAAGTTGACACAACTTTATCCTTCCTAATATGTGGACGATAAAGTGTAATAGTTTCCTTTTTTAGGTGCCATCCAGGAGAGGTAGAAATGATGGTCTCTGTTCCCATCTTACTGTATGCATAAATGGCTTTGGTGCTTCATTTATGATGGCTTTTCCGTTCAGGGAATTTTTGTGAGAGCTAGATTTACATAAACTGAGCTGAGTGGTGAAAACTCAGCATCCAAAAGCCGATGTGTCGATTTCTGATGTCAGTTCGTGTTGCCTTTTTTGTCTGCCACAGTTGAACTCCCGATACCTTTTTCCCCCACCATGGCTTTTGTCATTCCCTGCTTTGCTTTCCTTCTTTTCGCCTCAGTTCGCGTCCGAACAAATAAAAGTGAAAAGAAAAAGAAGAAAAAGTGACTCAACCACGACCTGCTCATTGGTTGCTCCATAAAATGATGATTCTGAAACTGAACATGGCTGGCCTTATCATCCATCTTTTCTTTCTATACTTTCACAGGCGTTATATCTTCTCTTTTTGCCTTTTTCCACCCAACAGGTGCGCCTATTCTACATCTGAATCTTGATTTTGAAGATCTTATTCGGTCGATTTGTTACATTGAATTGATTTTGAATGATACTCTAATTAGACTGCTCACCGACTAACAATCAAGCAATTAGCCTTTTCATTTTTGTGGTTGTGGTTGGAATGATGGATATTGCAATCGTGACACGTTGTTTAGGTGTAATTTTGAGATAAGATGTGTAAGAATGAGCTCCACAGGTTGAAACAGGGTCTGAGAAAAGTGGTGTGTGTTTGAAAGCACAAAGCAAAGCACATGGAAGAGATAAATAGATAGATGGGGGAAGTACTTTTTAGGGGAGAACACGGGGGAAAATCACTCCTTGCATGGGCCATGCAGGCGCAGAAATGGGTTGAGTTGCAAGCAGCAGGAATATTATAATTAGATGTGCTTTCCTTGTTTCAAACAAAAAGCGCATCATTTTGCTTTTAATGCCGCCAAACCATCCAATCCACTCACTTTCGTTAATGGATCCCAATTGTAAGTTACAGCCTCAGGAGGTCGGAGAAAGTGGTAGCATGTGTTAGGGGAAGAGCGTTTAGATGGGGGGCCCTATTTCTACTGCTCTTAAGAGAATCCTAACAACATTGGGACAACCATGGAAAAGAAATGGTTGGGATTAAACTTTGATATGACACTTCATAATCAAGTCAGTCCTAAGCTTTTGAATTTTCAACATCCATAGTTCCAAACAGCAAAAAAAGGTAATTTGCAGGCGCCCTCTATGTAAAAGAGAAAAGAGGGAGAGAGTTTTAGATGAAATTAGCAAATTACCGACTAGTGAGTCTTGTGTGTGTATTTGTAAACCTCTTTTTCGATCATTAAAACAAAGCCAACAAGCACGAACATGTCCACCACCCTTTTCTCTCAGTTCCCTTTGTTAATGCCTATCCTAGAATGAGAAACAGAATTAGGGAGAGGGTCCGCCCACTTCATTCCTGTCTACATATGATCTCAACTTTGCACTTTTCCCATGTGAAGATCCCTTCAATTCCTCTCCCTTTTTCTATGCACACATAATTTCTCAGATTAAATGTGCTTTCTACTGGTTGATTAGTAAACTAATGGAATAACTCTTAACAGTCCGAGGTCACCACCAGTAGATATTGTCCGCTTTGGCGCGTTACATATCATCATCAGTTTCATAGTTTTAAAATACGTTTACTAGGGAGAGGTTTCCACATCTTTATAAGGAATATTTCGTTCCCCTCTTTAACCAATGTTGGATCTCATAATCCACCCCCTTAGGAGGCCAGCGTTTTCGGTGGCACACCGCCCAATGTCTAATTATGATACCATTTGTTATAGCTCGAGACCACCGCTAATAAATATTGTCCGCTTTAGTCCTTTACATATTTTCGTCAACCTCATAATTTTAAAACGCATCTATTAGGGAGAGGTTTTCACATCTTTATAAGAAATGTTTAGTTCCCCTCTCCAACCGTTTGGGATCTCACAATCTATCCCATTAGGGGCCTAGTGTCCTTGGTGACACACCGCCCATTGTCTAGCTCTGATACTATTTGTAAAAGTTCGAGGCCACTGCTAATTGATATGTCCTCTTTGACCCCTTACATATCATCGTCAGCCTCACAATTTTAAAACGCGTCTACTAGAGAGATGTTTTCACACTTTTATAAAAAATGTTTTGTCTCTCTCCAATCGACGTGAGATCTCAAATCTCACACCCATGTTCTCTCTTGGTTGGGTAGCCATTACTTTTTGAAAGAAAAAAGGGAATTCAGGTTTCATTGAAATTTTCCATTTAAAAACATCCAGGTACTGAAGATGGGCAAGTGAAATGAACTAGTAAGAAGCTTCATTACACTTTCTCCGAAAGAAAAGTTTCAAAGAGTAAGGATAGAGAAACCCCTATTCTTTTATGTCTATTATTAATCATCAAAACATAATACTGATCAGAAGGTGTCTAAAAATGAAATCTTTTAAGACGGAATTGAAAATGGTGACCCCGATCATTGTACTTCGACTCAGCCATTTTAATTCAGAAGAAAGGACTGATTCCATGTGTTTATTATCCGAACCCAATTAAGAGAGAAGAATGTACGAGGAAAAAGTACACAGATCATTTATAATTACACCATATCTTCTAATTTGATTTGTGTATAACTGTTGGCTTCTCAAGGTACAAGATCAAACAGATTTCAGTAACTCAGTTAGTGTACTGTGGAAGGGAATTAGTGTCCATTGCAGGCTGCAGACCAAACTGACGAGGTGTTAAACACAGCGGTCTCTGATTCAAAGACATCACCGCAGACACCGCCAAAGCTGCGAGATTATGATCCCCCAATCATCGTCTTAAAGCACATTTGTTTATTTATGGTTGTCGTTGATGGATCAAATTATTATATTAACAGTCCGAAATAACAGAATTGACTTAATTGCGTCAGGCATTCATTAGTTTATAGAATTTGAGTAAAACCCATGTGCTTGGTTCAGTTTTTTATTGAGAAATCATTGATATGGATGAAATGCTTTGAAAGTTTAGAGAGAGAAGTCATGTGAGATGTGAAGTAGAAAGGTGAAAAGATTAGCAGCCATTGGTGGCTAAGTTATCTTGTCTGGTAGTTGATGCACGAACTTTTGTGTCCTACGCCTCATTGCATCATTGACGAGATGGAAAGATCCCATAAACACTTTCAGACGATATGCCATCGATGTGTTGTTGTGTTGGGTCCGATCTCGGTCACTTTTTTAATAAATCAATTGAATATGTTATTGATATCATTATGGGTCAAATCACGGCTTGCCACATGGACAGAATACCTCAAAACATGTCTAAACTAAGTCCAAATGACACCAAAGTGAAAGGAAGTCACCATCTAAGTCATTTCCAACCTAACACAAAACATTGCGTCGAGTTGATCTGTCGTACTCGGTAGATTCTCGCTACTCATTAGATACAAACTCACAAGTAAAAAAATTCTTACATGTTTGAGAGCATCGCTGCACAAAAGTACAAATTCTCAATATAGTTCACATCGACACTTTGAATGAATCTAACTTTCATTGTTTCATATTTGAGATTTAAAAATTTTACAATTGGACAAATTCTTTTATTTTTAAATAATATTAATAAATTAAATTAGTTCATTTCCTTAAAAATAATCAATAATTTCATTTGTCCTTAAATGCTTAGTGGTTGCTAATCAATTCCAAAGTACAAATTTAATATGTTGCTAATTGGAAACGTACTTTATTAGCTCAATATTAAAGTTCTCTCTCTCTCTCTCTCTCTCTATATATATATATATATAGTCCACGTGGCACAATGTTAGCAGTGGGCATATATAATCAGTGGTTTAATAATTAATCAACACTGTGGGGCGGCGGGTTCAATGAACCATAGGACAAATATTTAGGTTTTTGAATAAAGATATGACTGAATTATTTGATAAAACAAAGGTGAGCAATGTGTAACGATGTGGCATGTCAGGTCTACTCAACTCAACATCATTTATCCTTTTTAATCATTTATTGCTTAAATTAGAATTTGACCATTTCATAATTTATTTTACCCTCAACCTATATTATATAGCTAGCTAGAGACCATACTTTTGGCTCTTAAACTATAATGCCATATAATTACTTAATAATCTTATTTTAGATTGGAAATGAATAATTAGTTAGGAATACATATAGATAACTATGAGTGCAGAGAATTGAGGATTAATGACATAAAATTAATTGAGCAGAAAAACGTTGTGGACACGATGATTATGATAATACTAAACACACAGAGATTGGTCTGTTTATTTATAACATTTTGGCGATACATGTGGGGGTAAGTGCAAAGGAAATGGCAGTAACCATTGTTTTGTTTTAAAATATTGGTTTATAAACCGACAACCAATTTGAGTGCTGCCATTACCGGAGCCGACAACCATTGGATCCTCACTGATTTTTTCCAACTCTTTTGTCTGCGTCTATGTCCAAACCCCATCCATTTTTAGTTGCACCAACAGTGAACCCTTTAATCTCATATAACCCATCACAAAGTCTTCATTTTTCTACAAAACCCACTTCTCATTTCCCCTTTTCCTTCAAACCCATCTCCTCAATTTTCGTTTTAACTCTTCTTCATGGAGTTTAAGCACCATCAGCAGCTCAACCTTGAGCTGGTTCTAGAGCCATCTTCGCCTTCCTCTTCAGCTCCTGTGAGTCCAAATTGCGAGGCCGCCAGGGTTTTCTCGTGTAACTATTGCAAGAGGAAGTTTTATAGCTCGCAGGCGTTGGGAGGTCACCAAAATGCTCATAAGCTGGAGAGGACGTTGGCGAAGAAGAGCAGGGAGATGAGGGCATACCGAGGAGACCATGAAAGCAATAATGTTATGATGAAGTCAAGCCATTTGTGGAAAGTTGAGACTCTAACAGCGCCATCACCTCTAGTAATTGATGGTGGGAGAGATCAGATAAGGGCTTTTCCAGCTGATCAAAATCTCCTTCTTCTTCATCATCATCATCAAGCTGATGATATTGGCCATCTTGACTTGTCTTTAAGGCTCTGAGTTTCTTTCTCATTTTTTAATTTTACGTATAAATTTGTGTAATGATTGAATCCCCACCAAAAGGAGCGAGTGATGGATTGAGAGAGTACTTTATGTTCCATTGGATTTGGTCGGTAAGTGGACAATATCATACCATATTGGAGATACGTGATTTCTAACAATTACATCTATAAATCGACAAATTAGTTTGCATCAGAGAGGTAAGGTTAATCAAAGACGACGGAGGGCTTCGATTGATGCTAAGTTTTCATTGCATGCATTATTATCAATAATACTCGATCATAGTTACTTAAATCAGGATGCATATATGTTTACTGTTATGGGATTCCATTTTCTGGTTAAAGAATGTTTGTTCATTAGATTAAGGGTTGAAAGGGACAAATTTTTAATGAAAGTTGGTTCTAATTTTGTCTCTGCTAATTCATATGCTTGGTAGCTTAATGTAATTAAAGCTAAAGAAAGCATTAATGTTAGTTCCTACTAAAATGCAAGACAATATCAAGTGAGGATCACCAAGTTGGATAGATTTATAGATATGTTTACCAAATGCATGGTTGTTGGATATAAATTTAAAGCTTCATACTTTATCAAACATTTAAAGAAAACAAACTTTTACATGGGCTGTTTACAAAACTTTATAAATCGCTAAAAAAAAAGTTACTTGTAACCGTCTAGTGACGAGTTCTGATACCACACTCCTAACAGATATTGCCCACTTTAGCTTGTTACATATCACCATCAGTCTCACAGTTTAAAAATGCGTCTATTAGGGAGAGGTTTCCACACCCTTACAAGGAGTACTTCATTCCTCTCTCCAACCGAGGTACGATCTCAAAATCCACCTTCCTTGTTGACCCAGCATCCTCACTACATACGGCTTGTTGTCTAGCTTTGATATGGTAAGGTATTTTCAATTCTACACATATATAAGCGTTTACGACTTTCCTTTTGGTGTCGATTCAAAATAAAGATGTTGATACCAAGATCTTTCCTGTTCGATAGTTAATAGTTACCGCTCCAATTTCTTTCGAGAAATAGTTTAAAATTTCTATTTTTGATCTCATTTAAAGTGAGAAGAGGAGGGGAAAGGCAAAGGCAAAAGGTGTTAAGTATCGATGTGTGGCATTGTAAATTGATTAGAAGAGAAAAGAATGTCTATTGTGAGCAAAGCACATAGCAACTCCAAATGAGAAGATCTTTCCCTTCAAGAGACTAACTTTTACGAAGCAAGAGCTTCCCAACTCCCCAAGCTCAAGAACTTCAACCCACAAAAAATAATTAAACAACTCATCCAATTGGAGCTAACAAAAATGCAGCCTTAGTTTACACGTAAATGAATAAGAATAGCAAGCGAGGGCCCCAAGTTCCTTGTTTAGACATACCTCACGCTGCTACCAACCCATTAATAACCCTATCTTCCCAACCTACATTTTCTCCAACCTTACCTTAATTTTCAACACTTCAATAATTCAATCCATCCTCCATCCCGACTTTCTAATCGTTTCGGTTTAATTCTCTCCGTTCTTCAAACCCACCTCGTGAACAATTACAAATCTTTCTAAAATATAATATTTCTGTAGCTAAATGAATAGGACACGTAATCATGAAAGAACACTCCACCATTCCCGGGCATGCATAAGGCTGTGTCGTCCTCAACATAAAAATAAATATTTAATGAAGAACATAGGGATGGCAACTAAAAGTTTCATATTTAGACTTCCCCGAAAAGTTTGAAATTGTTGTTAATGAATTAATAATAATGTTTCAACTCGTACATGTACTTCAAACAATTATTTAATCTCTAATTAGAAAATTGTTGTATACATAAATGCATGAAAAGAGTGCATTTTCCATGCCTTGCTTCCGTATGAACACAAACCCTTTAAGCAACTTTCATTTTCATGCATTCAAACTCATAATATATATAAACTCAGTATCATATAAGCCCAGTTGAGCTAGGGAAGAACTATCTATATTTGCTATGAACACGAGATTCTTAATAATTTTGTTCATTAATTATCTAATTATAAATATAGTTCGTCGTTGTTTATTAAAATGATTTGAGTTGTTATGTGGGTTCAACTCCTTTCGTAAATGGAAAAAAGTAATTGAAAGGGACTCCCAAAATAATACTATAGTTGAGATTTATTCACCTCCATGGCTCTATAAATATTTGAATTCCTTAAACCTCTAAACACCAACAAAACCAAGAACACATTACAAAGATTGTCTTATACTTCCCTTCATTACTTTTCATGGCAGCCCTCCACATTCTTGGCACCGAAACCGATATCTCGGAGGAGTTTTTGATAGCTCGAGTCATCGACCTCCATGGAAGCATCTCGAGGCTTGAAACCCTAAAGCCATGCAAGGAAGTGAACGGCCTCTTCACCAGCCTAGTGAAATTGTGCATTTTGCCTTGTTCAATAGATGTCTCTACATTGGCACCTCATTTACAAGCCATTCGTGAGAGCCTCATACTTTTATGTGGCCGAGCCGAGGGGTTACTCGAGTTAGAATTCTCGACCATGCTCGGAAAAATCCCGAAACCTCTCAACAATCTTACTCTATTTCCATATTATGGCAACTACATCAAATTAGCCCACCTTGAATACAAGATATTGATTGACAATGGAGTTGTGAATCCAAAAAAGGTAGCTTTTGTGGGGTCCGGTCCTCTTCCTCTAACTTCCATTATATTGGCCATGCAGCACATGAAGAACACGTATTTCGACAACTACGACGTCGATAGCATGGCAAATGAGGTGGCGGGAAAGATCGTGGCTTCGGACGGTGAGTTGGAGGGAAGAATGAAGTTTTGGACGAGGGATATTGTTGAGGTAGGAGAAGAGCTTGAGGGATACGATTGTGTGTTCTTGGCAGCTCTTGTGGGGTTGAACAAGGAAGATAAAGTGAAGATTTTAAGTCACTTGAGAAAGTATATGAAACAAGGTGGGGTTTTGGTTGTGAGAAGTGCTAAAGGAGGTCGAGCCTTTTTGTACCCCGTGGTTGAGGTCGCCGATATGGTTGGCTTTGACATTCTCTCGATTTTTCATCCCTCCGACGACGTCGTCAATTCCGTTCTCTTGGCTCGCAAGCCTATACTCCTATGATCCGTGGGTTATCATAGTTTATTACGTTCAGCTACGTTTGAAGTGATTCTATATCGTGTGTTTTTTTTATATTTATTTTCATGTTTTGATCTCGTGTCATGTACCAAGTATTATTTGAGTTTAATATAAATCAAATTGTGTTTACTTTATTATTTTGTTTTTGCATTTTAAGATCTCAAATATTAGATTCAAGATTACAATTTGTATTTTTTTAAATTAATTATTTTTATAATTTAAATTAAATCGTATATTTTAGATTTTTTTAAAGCTACCCTTCACAATATTATTTAGAGCGTTATTTTGGGCCGAACGAAATAAAATTCCAGCCCAGTGTCTCACTGGATCAACACATTTCTGGGCCCGAACTCAAATATCTGTTCTAGCCCTTCAAGATTCTTGCTACTTCATTAATAAATATGAAAACAAGAAACAAATTTGAACACCAAAATTTAGAACAATTCAATTCAATTCAATTCAATTCAATTCTCTCTTTATTTCATCGATAATAGTATGTTTTAACATAAAAAAATATATATATATTGTGTATACAAATACAATAGAAATGAATATTGGGCAAGAAAAGAACAATCAAAAGAATTAAACTCAGGCAGTGGCATTGCATTCGGGAGGCAGGCCCTGAGGAAATCGCTTTACATCGGTGCAGTAATTGTAGATCATGTAGTTCTTTTGGACCCAGTTCATCTTTCCTTGGCTGTCGGAATCCAGTTCCTGAGAGAACCACGACTTGTCGTCGGAGGTCGGCGACGAATTCGACCCACAAGACGACTGTCCAGATGACCAAATGCAGGCGTTTTCATTGAAGTTTCTGTAAGATGCCGTGAACGGAGCCTGACTCCAATCGGTCTTCACTAACCCACCTCGGGTTGCCCAATCATCGGCGTTCCAGAGACTGGATTGAAGCCTCATCGGCTGATTTTTGGGGAATGCAACGCCAATTGACTCCTGGTTCTTGAACTCTCTAATGGGTGTGCCGTCGACGTAGAAGCTGTACAGCAAAAACAGAGCAAATTTCAATTTCGATTGCGATTACGATTACAATTCCCACTTTTGGTTGGAGTGTATAAATGAGTTTAGAGTGCTTACACAATGCGCTGGGGATTCCAGAGAATTGAATAGGTGTGGAAATCAGCAGTTGGGTCGAACCAGAGATGGAATTGCTGCTCTCTGTTGCCCTTCCCCTGGCTGAACACATTGGTGTGAACAGTGTAAGGATCGCCGCTCAGATTCCCCAAAAACTCGAAATCGATTTCGTCCCACGCAGACCCTTCTGAGCGCAACTGCAAATTCACAAAACAAAGATGAATGTAAGAATCGGAATGAGGGATCATCCACTGTAAAAGAAGATTCAAAGTGTAAAACGTACGTAGTAGGCAGTGACAGTGCCGGCAGAGTTGCCAGGAACGAGCTTGATTTGCATATCGATCTTCCCATACAAATACTCATTCCTGGAGCGGAAGCCAGAGCCGGAGGCTCTGTCGAGGGACAGAGAAAGAAGGTCGCCATTGTTGAGAATCTGAGCGCGGCCATCTCCCCAGGTAATATCGGTTGATTGGTGGAAATTCGCAGCGGAAGAGGAAAGGAGGGAGGCGGCGGCGAATAGTAGAGGAAGCAGGAAAGCAGTGGATGAGGCCATGTTGGTTGATTTGGAATTGCAGTGTGAGATGGAGAGGGAAGAAGGAAGCAGGGGTTGTATATAGCGAGGGATGAGGAAGGCGGCCAATGGGAAAGGCAAACGCGGAGAAGGTTCATTGGAATGTTGCGTACAGCTGGAGATGGTTGGGTTTGGGGAATCATCCTAACGCATAAAGCCTGCCACGCGGTTCGCACCGCCTCGTCCGCTCCACCACGACGATCACACCATACAAA